AAAATTAATATGCACAAATCAGTGGGATTTATTTTTTTACAGTAACAAGGAAAACATGGAAAAGGAAATGATGAAAGTAATACCATTTGCAATAGCCAATCACATACTGAGATACATGGGAATAAACCCAACTAGAGACACTAAAGAACTTAGTAAGGACAACTGCAAATCATTACTGCAAGAAAGATTAAGATAATTAAATGGAAAAATATTCCTTGCTCATGGACAGGCAGACACAACATAGTGGAAATAATAACCCTACCCAAAGCAGTTAACATGTTTAACACAATCCCAATGTTGTCTTTGTTATTATGTGCCATCACCTTCTCCAAGACAGAACTATTTTCTTGGCAGTCATGTCCAAGACTCTTCTCTAGCACTATAACTCAAAGATACCAATTCTTCTTTTATCATCTTTGGTCATTATACAGCTGTCTGATGGAAAGCAAGTAATTGTGAAGGCCACAGACTGGATCAGGCACACCTTAGTCAGTAGACTGACATCGTTGCTTCTCAGCAGTCTGGAGAGGTCCCTGAGAGCAGATTTTCCCAATGCAATTTGCCTTTTGATTTCCTGACTGCTGGTACCAAAAGTGTTCATTGTAGAGCCAAGCTAGCTGTAACTGTTAAAAACCTCAATCTCTTCTCTATCCATTCTGGTGCTGCCAGTTGGTCCAGTGGTGAGAATCTTTGTCTTCTTGATGTTGAGCTTCAATCCATATTGAATACTACAGCCCTTCTGCAGCAAGCACTTCAAGTCCTCCTTAGTTTCAGCAAGCAGGGTTGTGTCATCTGCATAACACAGATTGCTGATGAGTCTTAATCCTGATGCCACACTTATCCTCATAGAGCCCAGTCTCCTGCATAATCTGTTCTACATATAGATTGAAAAGGTATGGACATAGGAAACATCTCTGGCAAACACCCTTCCCCAGTTTTGAACCATGCAGTGTTTCCTTGCTCTGTTATGAAGACTACCTCCCGGTCCAAATATAGTTTTTGCATAAGCACAATCAAGTGTTCTGAGATTCCCACTCTCCTCAAGGTTAACAAAAATTTGTTGTTATTTGCACAGTCAGATGCCTTTGCATAGTCAATGAAGCATAGATAGGTATCCCTTTGGTACTCTTTGCTTTCTGCCAATACAGATACCAAATTCATTTTTCAAAGATATAGAAAAGACAATTGGCAAGATTATTTGGAAAGGAAAGATACCCCCAATAAGCAAAGCTCTTCTGAAGAAAAAAAAAAAGAAGTGGGAGGCATAGCATGCCTTGATCTCAAAACCTACTGCGCAGCTGTAATAACCAAACAGCATGGTTTTAATACAATGAGAGACATTTGGAAAAATGGAACAGTATCAAGAATCCAGAAATTAACATCTGGTCAATTGATACTTGAGAAGGAAACAAAACATGTCAAATGCAAAAATGATAACTTCTTTCACAAATAGTTCTGGAAAAATTGGACTTCTATCTGCACAAAGCTGAAGCAGGATTCACATCTCACACCATACACAAAATCAACTCAAGATGGAAAAGAGACCTGGGGGTAATACCCAGACCCATAAAAATCATAAGATTTTTAATGAAACCAAACTTAGAAGACTTAGTC